CTCTTAGGTTGGAGGCCATCGCTCTTAGGATGGAGGCCATCGCTCTTTTGGTTGCAGGCCATCACCCTCTTAGGTTGGAGGCCATCCGACAGAAAACAGAAAAGAAAGGAAAAAGGTCTAATGTCCAATGATGAAGAGCACCTGCCAGCTTCGGCAGGTCATCCGACACCTCAAGAGATCCAATTCCTCGGAGGTCTGATGGTCCATGGGGCGGTGCGACCAAAGCTTTCGCAGCGAAGGCGGAGACGAAGGCAACAGGCACTTCAGCGAAGTGAAAGGAAGCCGACCCGATTTCAACGAATGCACCAGCTGAATGGCAAGCCTCACTAAGATGGCGGCTTCCAAAACCATCGCGGACACATGAAAGGCCATATCCTTCTCCATGGCATACATGGCAAGTTGGATTGATCGCCTACGGAACTTTCCTGAGAACCCAAAAAACATCACGGTGATAGCCCAAGTGATGCTCGTCACCACGTTTACATGGCGCAAGAAGTTGCGGAGGGCGCAAGAAGTACACTGCCAACGGTGTGTGTGTGTGTGTCCTCTCCTCAGCCTCAGATGATTGATGCACGTGTTACTACTAGCGAACATTGTTACTGTGACAATGGAAGCCCATGCCCGGATCCAGCCGTACCTCCAGTCGTACCTCTCCCATCCCATCGTTCAGCTTGGTCTCCAATCCCGAGACTGCGCTGAACGCGGAGGTCCCGCGACAGCTACTATTACTATGCGTCCTTGCAACTAGAAGTAATGGCCTCCACCCTAGTAGCGATGGCCTCCACCGTGCGTAGCTTTTTGCTACTAGTAGCATGCCAGGAGCGCCCCAAGGAGCACCCTTGCTACGAGTAGCAATGCCCTTGTTACCAGTAAGCTTACAGTGTTTCCAATCATCTGAGAAGGTACTGGGGTCCGGGATCACATGTTACCCATGCGGCTGGTTGACCGGCACCCCGTGTGAGGTTGATCTGATCACCCGTGTTTTGGTCCGTCCGCTGAGTAGCGCCATGAGGTTGTATTGAAAGTGTTTTAGTCAATGGCAGCAAAGTCGGCAGTTCTCGCTTCTTCCAATCACTTTCAATCACTTTCAGTTGTGTCTGACGCGACACCATCTTGCCACCATCTTGACACCATCTTGCCGCTTCTTTGACGTCGGTGCACCCCCCGGCGTTTCATCCGAACTGTGCCCCCCGCGGAGCGCCCGGTCGAGCCGTAGCACTGCTGTCGAGCCGCTCTCGCGCTCGGCCTCCACGTCGGCCCGGCGCCGGAGCACTTTGTCCTGTCGACGCGGTCGGAGTTCCGTAGAAGTCAATTCGGCGATGGGAGGTACTACTAGCTTCTTGTTACTACTAGTAGCTACTAGCTATATATACGTTCGTAGCTTCATGCCCCTGTGACGTGCGTAGCTTCTTGCTACTAGTAATGGCCTCCAATTCTAAGAGCGATGGCCCGGCCTCCTAGATGTCCAGTTCAGCGGAGGGTACCCGTTCATTGTGATTCATGACGCAAACTCATGACGTGAAAAAATCCAAACCCGCTGGGATGGATGAATCCAAGGTAGGGTAGGATGACAGTTAGGGGCCAGGGGTAGGATGGATGACGCAGTTGTCATTCAATCCGCTGAGGTTCATTAGGTTAGGATGAAGCTTCGATCTTTCAATCTGGTGCTGCAATAATTTTTGTTGTACTCTCGAATACAGGTCGTCTGTACGCCCCTGCGAACCTGTAGAAGGGATTCTCCCGCACCTTCCCACCTTTTCTTGGCACCAAAAGGTGCAGACCAGTATGGTGAGCACGAAGGCAACTCGCGTCGCGCACCTGGAGAAACGAACGAAGAGTTGAGCTATCTGGTAGGACCCGGAAAGCGAGCTTACCACCACTCCCCGGGAAGCCAATCTCCGGCTTCCCGGCTTTTCTGCTTTTTCACTCCGTCGCCCGAGCTGACTGCGGCACTCCCACTCCCCGTGACGGTGGTGTCACCGAGACTGCGCTCGACGCTGTCGCCGAGGCGACGGTTCGACCGCGCGGCACATTGGCCCCGCTGCAGTGCCAATGGTGATGGGATCAACACAAATGGTCGATCACCATGTGTGGCTGTTGCAACCTGTCGCTTGTTGGTGAGGAATAAGTAGTTTTTATATAATGTATATACACTTAAGACAATTCTTTTGAAATCAATAGCCCAGTAGCTTCTTGTTACTAGTAGTAATGGCTTCCAACCTACTAGCGATAGCCTCCACCCTAGTAGCGACAATTCATGGAAAATCAGAAATGCCTCAAATTCAGCAGATCGAAACAAGGATGGACTAGCTGCTAGCTGCATGCAGAGTGTCTGCCAATCCAGACCATCTTCAGGGTGGCAGAAACCTAAACATTCCCAGCCTTCCCAGCATGTGTATTTGTGTTCACAATTCCCCCATTGGAATAACAAGGAGACCTTGGAAATCCACTTTGTAGATACAATTCTGTTTACACCTGGTCACCAATTGTCGTTCATGCTCCAGTACTTGGTGATGTTCTCTCCGGCCTCAACAGTGAAAAAACAACTGCCTCCGCTGTCTCCGACTCGGTACATGAAACTGACTGAGAACACCTGCAACATCACCATTGACATCCGTTGCTGACATGATCTAAACCGCGTGAAGGATTCGCGCATCTTTCACTTGCTCCAAATCCTCCAGGGTTGTGACAGCGAAGCCCTTGAACGTTTTCAACACAACTGCCCCTGCTCCAGTATCTTTGCTGGGTTCACTTGTTCGATCTTTCAGATTAAGCCAAGCATAGCATGCACTCTCTGGTTCACTTGTGCTCTCAGCAAATGAAGCAGCTCAAAACCCGGACTCCGACGGCGGCGGAGACCGAGACCCGACTCCGGTCGCTCCTCCAGCTCCGGCAGCTCGGACTTCTCTGTCTCATCTGAGCCTGGGAGTGACCGGTGCATCGCTTCTAGTAACAAGTGCCTTACTAGTAGAAACAAGAAGCTATTTAGTTTAATTTTAATAGCTTTTTGTTACTACTAGTAAGGCACCTGTTACTACTAGCGTGGCACTTGTTACTACTAGTAACGTCGGGGTGATCCGATCCGCTCCGCGCCTGGCGTCTCGTCGTTGAGCCGTGGCAGATATTCCTTCCGCTGCAGCTCTTCCACAAAGGCCTCCAGCGTGGCGTGGTAGCGCTTCGGGACGCCGTTGAGGCAGAAGTAGCCGCAACAGGTGCAAATGGCCAAACAACTGCAGCCAATGCATATCATCAAGGAAGCCTCAGAAAGAAAGAGAGGATGGGTTTAGGGTTTTGGGCACGTGATGATGGCTCATGTAGGATGTTTGTGGATGAATTGAAATCAAGCGATCATGGTAATGAACCTCGCCAAGTGGTGAAGTGAAAAGTGTGACAATGGAACATGTTGGAAGGGAGGAGCCCCTTTAGGGCGGCATACAATTTCATCCAACATCATATTCCAGAACATAGAATAACAATCCGGATAGTATTCCCCATACTAGTAGTAACAAGGTTCGCTGCTAGGAACAAGTGTTCATCGCTTCTAGTAACAAGCGCCTTACTAGTAGTAACAAAAAGCCATTAATTTATAATTCTAATATCTTCTTGTTACTACTAGTAAGGCACCCGTTACTACTAGCGTGGCACTTGTTGCTAGTAACAAAAAGTGTTCTGATCTTCTCCTCTTCGCGGCGACGATGATGCCGGTCACTCTCTGATACTCCTCCATGCCGTCGCTTGTCTCCGATCTGCTCCGCTCATCGACTGCTCCGCGGCGATTCACGCGCCGGGCGTGTCGCTGGCGCCCAGAGCCACACAGGGTGAGCAGATCGACAAGAGATCGAAGACCGATGGAAGGGTTGAGACTTCAAAGACCGTGCGGGCATTTGGGGTGGGGGGCGGGGGGGGGCCCAAGTGGGAGCCTTCTTGCTAGGCTAGTTCAGGTTCTTGTTGCCATCAATAATTACGCATCAAGCAGCGCAACCCGGCAAACGTGGGTTCGGCCAAATTCTCCGTAGGTTTACTTCTGCTTCCAGGTGCAAAGCCCCATTTCGAGCTATTATAACAAATGATAATTATGACGTGATGTGACAAGGCGTACAGGGTACAGTCTTCCCGTCCGACGATTCGTTTCTCCGTCCGTGTCTCCTTTGACGATGTGTCCACTCCGTGTCCACTCCGTGTCTCCCAGTCCTCCATTTGCTTCATGAGGAAGTCCGAATGTTCACGCCTGACGGCACGGACATAGCGGGTTCGGTGGAGATCCGACCGGTGGAGCCAAGACGTGGGATCGATCCAGCTCAAGTCATCCCAGGTGACCCCACACCACTGTGGGAGACGCAAGACGGGATCTTGAAAAAGAACTTGAACCACAATGCAAGTTTGTGAAAAAGACCCTTGCCGTGTTTGCTCTCGCAGCTTATAACGGCTCGTCGGTTCTCAAACAACGCCTCAACCAAAAACTGATTCCAATCACCAAAAAGAGCACACACCAAAACCTATACAAATAGATAAAGAACACTTGGAAAACGTCGCAGAACACTTGGTACACTTCTCCGTTCGGAATCTCCGTTCGCGTCCGTTCTGAGCATCCGGACAAACGGAGGAGCCGAGCGCGTCGCTGCTCCAGTTCCTCCCGCTGCCCGACCGCGTCAGCGACCGAAGCGACGGAGTCGGCGCCGGCAGGTCGCCCTGTGAACTACGGGTCCTTCGGAGCCACCCAGCCACTCAGTCGCCCGAACGTGGTGCCCAAAAATGTAGTAACACAATATATATATATATATAAATCCAAACTGCAATGGCCTCCAAGCTACTAGCGATGGCCTCCAACCTAAGAGCCTTAAGTACATTGTGTGGCAAATCGCAGCTTCCTCTTGTTTCTGCTTCAGCTTCACGTCGTCTTGTCTCTTCTCGATGGCCTCGGAAGTTCAGCCCTGCCCGGCAGTTGACTGGGCGGGTGGACTGTCCGATCCCTGTTGATTGGAACAGGAAAAGCAACAAAGGATTACAATGTCGACGTCTCATTCCTTACAAAAACCATGGTGAACAAAGTTGCTGCTGGATTCTCCACTGGTTGTGAGAAACATTTGTCTTCTTTAATGTTCTAAATGGTTACAACAATGGCTAAGTCACCAAGCTTCATGGGGCGGCTTCGCAAGACGAGGACACCTTCCTTTCATTTTCGCAAGCGCTGCCAGAGATGTTCTGACCTGTCCAACTTAGATCCGGGTGTGATAGCTTCTTGTTACTATAGGAAGGCCAGGAAGGCCCCATTCGGTTCGCGTCCGAAATCTTGCCCCAATAGACTCAGACTCTGCCGCGGCCCATTCTGCGGCCCACCCCCCGCCACTCGCCGCTCTTAGCTCGTCGGACATACCGGGCACGTTGCTCCAGGCTCTTGAGATGCATGGCCTTGAGAGGAGAACGTTCGTTCTCTCGTGCCCCACCGACGTGCCGTGCCGCTCCTCCCGTGCCACATCGGACCGGTGGGCGTGCGGAAGTCTTCATCAATCTCCAGGTGATGGGCGTGTGTTGCTCGGAACTGGAGGGCACACAACGACAAGCAAACAGATGCGAGACAAAAAAAAACGTGGCGCCACCGGCGCCTTCTACACAAGGTTTGAGAATGTGACATATACAAGGTTCACGCCAAGACGTTTAAATTCTTGCCTTCCACTGAAATAAGGAGCTACATAATATTCACAATACGCCATCTCCGAAGACAGACCCAACCAAATGATATGGGGTGAATGCATTTCTCCCTCATTAATGCCGTCTAGCGCTAACATCAAGGAAACTGGCAGAACCACCTTCACCAGCCAAATGGACATCTGCTGTTCACTTAACTTCGACATCAAGTCCACATTCCATTCTTATCGTTGGGTTTCCCCTCTCCACTTGCCAACATCTCCACCCAGGTGGCTTTGGTGCTCAGGGTGCCAAAGCTGTGCCAAGTGGCCATGTGCTGATCCAAGCACTCCTTTATGTTGTAGCACCTGGCTTGTTTCTTTTTTTCCGGCGCAGGGTCAGGCAGATTCACTTCTTGGGTCTACAAAAAACAGAAAAAACAAAACGTCGTTTGTAATAATCTGTGATATTTTGAAAACGAGGTTTCGACGTTACGGAACGCCTTTTTCCCTTGAGCCAAAACACGTCAAGAGTCACGTGTCTGCAGTACCCTAGCGGAGTATATATGGGCTGTACATACAAACACTCCTCCTCTTGCAAAGCACTGTACTGCTGCGCAAGCATAAAAGTAAACATGTGAAACTCTTCGCTGCTTAGCCACTTTCAGTTGTGGTAGTGGAGCTTGGCCAGGGACCTTACTCCAAAACATCTAACTGTCCTTTGCTTCGCTTGCTGAGGAATGCATACTGCAGGTCCTCCATGGTTTTGCGAAGCTGCACCCCAGGAACCGACTTGGTCAAAACATCGGCTTTGTTCTTGACTCCTGGAACGTGGTGCACCTTCAAGTGGCCTTCGGCAACCCTTTCTTGTAACCATAGGTAGCGAGTCTGGATGTGTCTGGCTTTACCCAAACCCACTCTATTCACAGTTCCTTTGGCTGCATTGGAATCGCCCTCGATGGTGACTCCCAAATTCAAACCAAGGTCTGCGCATAGGCTTTGGAGGCCTAAGCCCACAGATCCTCCCTTCACAAGTGCATAGTACTCACTTTCACCTGTAGAAAGGGCTACAGTGGATTGGATGTTACTACTGTGTTTCAACACGTGCATGCCGTACATAGCAACCATGCCAGTCGTGCTTTTGCGCGTCACAGCGTCACCACCATGGTCGGCATCGACCTGCACCCTCAGCCTTGAGGGTGTCTGCTGCGAACCAAAACATTGCCCAACATCAGGGTATTTCTTCAAGTACCTGATGAGACGCTTCAAGTCAGCAAGTTTGGCTTCTGTTGGTGATACCATACCTCGAGCAAGGTTCTTGACTGCGTGCCCAATATCGAGTCGATCTTGAGACAAGTACGCAGCACGCATCGTTGCTGAACGATACTTCGATGCCTCGCTCTTATCAAGCAGCGGACTGCGGCTTTCCAGCATCTGCTGATCTGCCGACTTCTTGACATCTGGTGATTCTACACCATTTGCCTTTTCCAAACCAAATGCCTGGATCAAAAGATCAACATGTCTCCGATCGGCTTCGATCACAATTGATCCTTCGCCGTTCTTCTTTTCGACTCGGATTAACCGATTCAGAAAATGAGCTTCTGTTCGGTCTCCATCCTCGTCTCCAAGAATTCCGAGACATTTCAGCTCATAGGCATCTTTGAGGACTTGGCTGAGCTTCTCCAAGTGTTGGGCGTCTCCAAGTGCTAGGAAGTCATCTCCATGCACCATCACTCTGACGTCCCAAGCTTCTTGGTAGAAGACTGACGCATTTGACAAGCCTCTGCGGAAACCAGCTTTCTGCAGAGTCTCTGTGTAGTGCGTCTGCCAGATGTTTGGAGCGTCCTGTGTTCCATACATCGACTTCACGAGAAGTCCACAGGTCTGTCCATCTTTGCTGGCTTCGTCCTCAGGCGGCAGCTCTATGTAGATCTTTCTCTTTGGAGTTCCATAAAAGTGTGCTCGTGAGATGTCCCACAAGCCCAGCTTCAGCAGCTGGTTGTGGCAGGACTTTCTCTTTGTTGCCCACAACGAGCACAGCAGTCTCATCGCCTCCAATGGGGGCGTGCTGCTGAAAAGCAAGTTGGCTGGCAATTGTTCTTCTTTGGTCTTTCTTGCCTTTATCTCACGCACAACTAAACGGCTCCTATAGTTTGGGTTTGTTGGATCTCCCTTGTTGGTGTCCAACCATCTGACTGGAATCGGGGGCTTCCCCGTTTCCTCAAAACATTCGGCTCTCGGCCGGGCCACATAAACACCATGCTTTTCTTTTAAATAATTCATTTCAAGGCGTCTTGCCTCTTTCACTTTCTCGGCTGGCAAAATGCCGCCGTTCACATCGTCCATGTAAACTTCTTCGAACTCAGGGTCCATCAGAGGCATCTCTGGAACTGGGCCTGCTGCAAACAAATCAAAGGTGTTCAACTCACCTTTCTCAGCTAGTGCGTCACGCAGAAATCCGGATTGTCGCTCTGGATGCTTCTTGACCTGTCCCCAGATGTTCTTCTTCACCCTCCAAGGTGCCTTAGGATCAACTTTGGCTGGGGTATATTTGGCGTGAGTGCCACGGACCTCCCAACCTGTTTTGACACCTTCGGGGGAGGTTTGGAAATCGGCGATCACTCGGCCAGACGATGGCTGTGCGGCTGGATCAGCCGCTTCAGCCTCTGGCTCTACTGTGGGGTCTTGTTCAGGCTTTTCTTCTTCTCCTCCTTCTTTCTCTTTTGTGGTCTCTTCTTCTTCTTCTTTTGTTTCCGCGGTTCCTTCAACCGCTGATGTTGTTTCGGCAGTTTCTACAACCGCTGGAGTGGTGTTTGCGGCTGGTTCCGCCGCTGATGTGGCTGGCAAAGGCTCCTCCTCCTTTTCTTCTTTTCCACTCGGGGCGGCCGAAGCGGCCGCTCCCGGGATCTCCTGATCCTCCTCCTCTGAGGTCTCTACCTTACTATGTCTCTCTTCCTTGATGCGCAGCGCTTTGTCCCTTTCGCTCTCACCGGGCTCACGCGCTACCATGAAAACGAGGTTTCGACGTTACGGAACGCCTTTTTCCCTTGAGCCAAAACACGTCAAGAGTCACGTGTCTGCAGTACCCTAGCGGAGTATATATGGGCTGTACATACAAACATATTTGCAGTATATATTACAAAGTGTATAGATAACTATATATATATACTATAT